TGCGTTCTCGCTTACGGGTAGTAAGGACGACTGCTTTGCCGGCTGTAGCTCGGCGTAGGGTATGCCACATCTGGCGCTTCGTAGCCGCATCGACACCAGCGCTCCATTCATCGATCAACACCACTTTCGGATTACCGATCAGGGAGATGGCTAGTGAAAGCTTCCTCTGCGGAGCACCTTCAGCTGAGTCTCTTGCCGCTTCCTGAGATTCTTACCTGATTTCCACCAGAAAGTTTGGCAGCCAGACGATGTTCATATTGTCGGAGATGTGCACCATCAAGAATGGCCTCAACGTTCGCTTTCAAAACAGCGCCCCTCAGACCTCTGAAGCGACCATACACCATCAGATGTTGTCGAACTGTCAGATCGTCGATAGCGTTGAATTGAGGGCAAACCCCAAGAGAGACGCGGGCATAATTCCGTGAAGCGAGAATGGAATAGTCGTTGATGAACACGTCGCCTCGATCGGGTCGGATGCTGCCTCGCTATGTTACAATCTCAGAATAATTCCTGTGCCCCTGAAAATGGACCCTCTCACAATCATGTTGAAAGTTGTCGTCTTCCCGGCTCCGTTAGGGCCGAGCAGCGCCATTCTCTCTGCGTTGACACCAAAACTGACATCGTCGACAGCAGGAATGGTCATTGAAGCAAAATGCTTCGAGAGCCCAATCACGCGCAGGGCGTCGTTAGAAGCCCTTACACGCTTCGCTTCTACCAGAACATCGGCTCCAGTTTCCCTTTCTGGAGGTGTTGCCGTGCCAAAGCGTATCCTTCGTCTGAGCAAGTTGAGAAGTTTCGGCGTTGTGAAGAATCCCGAATCTACGCCGATGAGAAGAGCAAAGCAGAGAATACCGTAGACGATTAGATACACTATGGGTCCACCGAACTTCAGCACATCTCCAGGTGGGGATGTAGTGTAGTTCCCAGTGCCGTCGCAAAGAAGGTTGAAGAGGTTAACTGAAACGAAGGCCGCGCGAACAACACTAACGACAGGGGACAGCAATGCCATTGCAAAATCTGGTAACGTTTTTGAGAAGTAGTGGTATATAATAGGGAAGCACACTTACGGACTGTGGTCAACGTCTGACTGTTGTTGGCACTCAGTTGAAAAGTCAATGTGAGCAAATAGGCAGCGGTGTATAGCTGCAATGAACCATGTTAGCAGACTAGAGGAAGAGCAGGATGAGAGATAATATACCAGGAAAATGATGACTTGGTAGCCAGCTACAATTGCGAAGGCGGCCAAGCCGGAGGTAACTGGTAGGTAGATAAGTCCGCGATTATATCTGAGGAAACTGGACGCACTGAACAAGGTCACGCAAAAGGAAAATAGGGCAGCAGTCATGCCATAAAGAGTGAGGACCACCCACTACGAGCACAAACGTTAGAAGATGCGAGCGAGAATATCTTTGAAGGACGTACAAGTATACCTGTGTTATAAAATTGGGGTGACTCTTGACCGTAGGCAAACACCAAGCTGATAATGCTGGAGATGATAACGATGGAAGGTATCTCAAAAAGAAGATGTCCAACTGCGGCGGATCATCAGTCTCCGTTGTTCGTAGGCAATGGCAGTAAGGTATACGTACGCCATAGACCTAGTGGTGTAAGTCCGTTGCTATAACCCATGGCTTGGACAGATGTACGGCGTTCTCGTGCCGTGTACAGGGTGTAAAATGCCGGGAAGACACCCTGTGCCATAGTCTTGGTCAGGACTGCTTGCCTTTCTATTGCATGGAGACATACCATAGCTAGCCCAAAGAATGCAACCCACTTGACACCATCACCCTAACACATATTAGATTCATTGTATACCAGCTTGTCCAGGAACCTACAGTGCCAGAAAATGCTGAAGAGCCCATGAGACATGCAACAGCACAGGACAGGAAAGCGGAACTCACCAGTCAGAGGAAATGACTCGAAGTTCACGTAAATCTGCGGACCCAGTCCGAGACCACGTTGAGAACTGTTGAGTGCGTCGTTATAGAACATGTTCGTCGCCAAGTTGAGAAGTGCGATGCCGGTATCACTTAACGAGTCCGCCTCCCAAGCAATGACAGTTTGTCCAGATCCTTCGGCAAAAGAAACTCCTCCGATGGTAATATTGGCTTGGTTGGCTATAATATCGTTAAAGAAAGTAGTATTATCAGCAACTCTGGTGAAGTTGAGAGGTACTTTGAGGGAATCTATTGCGTGCGGAGGCGAAATATACGGTAGGGTGGTGTTAGGCTGATAGGTGAGATAGGATTCCGGTAAGAACAGTTCTGTGAAGAACACGAGATCGAATTGTCGCTCGCATGTCTGAGAGCGATGTTTCATGAATGACAGAGGAATCAAAGCTCCACAGCAGGCAATCGCGATCATGATGAGAGACGGTAACCAACCACGTCGCAATACAACAAGCCGTTTCCCGAAGATGATAAGGGCCTGCGTCAAGAACGACACTGGTTTCGACTCGCTTAAGTCGATGGGAGCTGCTTCTAGCTCGGCTGCAACTGTTTCCTCTGTCGGTATAGAATGAGCAGCTGACTTCTCATCGGTATCTGAGGCACCAAGCGCGTGGCCTTCTTGGAGCATCAATCCGAGGAAAACGTCTTCGAGCGATGATGCATGAACATCATATCGCGTGATTCCGAGCTCGGTTTTGCGGTCCTCGATGATACGGAGAACTTGAGCCACGGCGCCAGGCTCCTTGCTGTTGAGACGTATGACATGCCCCTCTGAAGTCAAGGTCATGTGGCATCCGGGGACCACAGATCTGATAGTCGCCATGAGAGCATTGGGATCCCAGCCCTGGCCCAGCTTTTCATCCTCTGCTTCGCTTGCTCGGTGCAGGTTGATGATGTAGCCGTCTCCAAGGGTTGATTTGAGATGGACAGGAGAGCCGGTAGCAAGGAGCTTGCCGGGTGCTGCGAGAATCATGATTTCGTCTCCGATAAGGTCAGCCTCGTCAAGGAACTGCAACACAAAGGTAAGCAAAGCGCATATATAGAACCCGACAACCGCACATGTGTTGTATAAATGATGGTCCTTTGAGATTTGACAGCGTTCAGAGCTCTCCAGATGGCGCGTCGCGCCAATGGGTCAACTCCGGATGTTGCCTCGTCGACCAGCACAACTAGAATTCTTTAGCCGGATCTCCACACTCGCACATGCCTTGCTTACGTTCCGATTGACCAACAAGTCCAACAGCCAATTGAAGTTTCCTTTTCTGCCCACCGCTCAACGTACCCGCTCTGGCTTTCATTTTCGAGCCGACATCACAATCTTTGAGGAGCTGCACAAGGTCTTCGTCTGCTCCCTTCCCAACAGGCCGCTTGATGTCGCGCCAGAGCTTAACATGTTGCAAAGAGGTGAGTTCATCCCATAACACGTTCTTCTGTGGCACGATACCGAGAGTGCCACGTGTGGGATGAGGATGGCCACCAAAAGAAACGATACCCTGTGTGGCCGAAATGAGACCGGCGAGGATTTCGAGCGTGGTTGACCTGAAGGAAAGGTACAGTTTGTCAGCGTAGTCCCATCGACGACCCCAGACAGCACGAACTTTCCAGAGCCGTTGCTACCCAGCAAACAATGAATACCAAATTTGGGAATAGTGAGTGACAGGTCTTCAATAGCAACCACCGCCTTCCTTCCATGTCCAAACCGCTTGTGCAGATTCTCTATTCGCACTGCGACCTCTGATTGACCCAATGCAGCAGCCTCCATATCCCTCTTCTGTTGATGAGACATCCTAGTACGACGTGCGCCCCATAGCCAGTGCTCCAATAGTAACGCCATGACTGGCCAGAAGAACAGGTTGAAAATGGCGACCACGATGACAGCAATAATGAGGATAGGCGAGTTTGGATCGGTGCCGTCCCCTGGTGAGGTTTGGAGGGGGTCTGTGGGAATTTTCGCCATTTCGTACAGTGCGATTCCGCGTAGGGCGTAGATGTAAAAAGTTGAGGGGAAGAAGATCTGGAAGATGCACGCGCCAAGAGTGGCAAACCGGATGACATGGGCAATGATCGCGAAGATTAGGGCGAGGAAAGTGGTAGCGATAGCTGCCAGTTGCGGGGACTGAGCGAAGGGCATGCCGACGAACATCGACCAGCTCGTGATTTGTAAACTGAGTCATTGTCAAATCCAAGTCTGCCGCCTGCGAAAAGAGCTCCTACCCGAAGAGAATATGTACCCCGATCATGAGCCCAATACTCGTGTTCGTGAACACCCGTTTCTGCCAAATGATCGCCATCGCAATCCAAGCAGGCATGTAGAGCATCGATAAGCTGAAGTGCCAGGACAGGATGCGCGCGGAAGGCAGACACCCCATTGCCTGCAAGTGGGGTGTGAGGCGAGCATTTTGCTCGGCCATCATCGAGCCAGCAGTCTGAGTTCAAGTGAGCGCTAGAAGCATGATTAGGAAAAGAAACAGCTAACCTGATAGACTACGCCCAGGAAGGCGACGAAGAAAGCGAGGTCGATCAGGGCGTAGACGCCGTCAACGAATGCTGATCGCGCAAATGGGGTTAGCAAATGTAACACGGAGTGATGAACAGCGTACACAGCCTGGTATTTTCAGTCTGCTGGGCGTTGGTGTCCTGAGTGAAGGGCCATTCTAGCGGTAGGGGTGGTGTAACCCCGGTCACCAGCTGAATGACAGTCTATAGGTCACATCGTCAGTATGATCTGTGTACTCCGTCCAGTAGATCCTCACAGAATCAACCGCCCATTGTAAAGGTAAGAATCGAAGTTCATAGTCGCTATTATGGTTCCAGACGTCGACATTGATCAGACCAGAGTCGCCTCGCATAGTGTAGTTCAGCTTCACTCTGCCATCCGGAGAAGGGACATCTTGGAACACAACAGCCGCAAAGCAGTTCGAGCGAAGATTGAAGTTTTCTGGACAGAAGTTCGGGATTGAATCAGAAGTTGGAAGCTGCACGACCTGGGACTGTTGATACGGAGAGAAACTCCGCGTAACAGACTGCATGATCTGCGCCGGGGTGTAAAGTTGGTTTGAGACATTTGTCGTCGCGTCGACCCATACTAGATTTCCAGTAGTGAAAGTCTTCGTCATATTCTGGATTGGAGCAGGAGTGCCTTGGCCGAGCTAATGCCGCCGAGATAAATGCCATTCAACCTCCGCTCCATTCGGACGAGTAAGCCAGTCTACTTACGTTGTTTTGGTGACCAAGGAGCAGTTGAGCGACACCAAGAAAAGCAGCATATGCAATAGGAAGAATGAATGCGCGAACGAGGTTAAGTATTGGATGCTGCCACAGGATGATGTAATTCTTCCAGGTGAGCGCCCAGAATTGCCTCCAGAAGAGCCGGAACTGGGACATGGGTACAAGTTAGTGGTGCGGGTCGCACCGAGCTGAGCACCAGGCCAAGGTTTGTATAGCAAAAGCGAAAGAGAAAGGGAGGACAAGATGGTCGGAAAGAAGGAAAGGTATTTAGCCCATGCTGCAGATGGGGCCTCCAGCAGGGCGCAGTCATGGTTTGTCGCCTCGGCCACAGCTCTGTAGACGCGCCGAAGACGGCGGTATGCGCCGGGAAGCATGCCCTGATCGGTGGTGTGGCTGTACATTTACCGAGTGAGTCGTACGGTTTCTGCTTTTAGCAAGCGCATGTTACCTTTCAACATTCATTCGAACTTGCGCTTGCTCAGCATCATGAATCAATCCTCTCGTGAACAAAGACTCCGATGAGTATTGCTACCAAAGCTACCAAAGCACCCGGATGCGTCGTAACAAACAAACAGGGTACTTACCATCAGCCCCGGAGCCGCCTATATTTGTAACATCTTGTGTGGCGGGAGTGACATGCCCGGACTGTGCACGTACATCTGGTCTTCCATCACAGGTGCGAATCCGGTTGCGTAAATAGCATACCCATTGATAACCCATGATGCCCAGCGCTGCTGCGGCCCTATCGGGTTTGGCTTGGCAGCGAGCATAATACCGAGAGAGTGTTTGGGGATGCACCTTACAACGTTCCAGGGTATTTCAACCCCATTCCGTTCCACCGGCAAGCTTTGAACAATACAGTACGGTAGTATCTGCCCCGCTGTCCTTGAAGCACCTGCCCCGCAGCTGCAGTGACCGACAAAAGGCCTCAAGCTTGTGATGCGAATACTTTGTGCTTGTGGCGCAGCCAGCAATCTGAGAAACGGATCTTGAACGTTGGAACATAGATACTGGATAAATGTCGTTATCTTATCCAATTACATATGGTGGTGACATGTTTGCAACGACATGCACGCGACCCTGCAGGGGGCAGGGATATTTTGCCACGTCTGTCGCGCGCAGCCGTGTTGGCTGCCGTGCAGGACTAGTACTGTGCTGCCGGTCAACACACAATCACTGCGTGTTAGGTCTCAATATCCTAGGCTAGGACAGGGTTCTTGGCATGGACTGCCATTGGTTGTCATAGCGCCCAGGATCTTCCATGCCTGCTGAGTAGCACATCAGTCAAGCTGTAATAGCTACAGATGTCTGGCTGGTAGCCAGGATAGGTTTTGCAATGAAAATTGATACCAGACTGTTTGTAATTGTCTGGCATGACACTGGGTCACACAACCTGGTCAACCTCCCCATGCCCACCATATCCCAGATAGACTTCGGGATTAATATGATGTGTTGGTGTCAGGACCAAGCCCAGCACCTCATTAACTTATTGATCATGTATCTATCTGTACAGGTAGGGCTAGCATTTCTCTTACTGCAGACCATTCCTATTGTCATCCTCCACCACCCCATCCATTGCCTGCATCGCCTTCCCCAGCCCAAACACCTCCCAGACAGCTTTCTCTGGGTCCTTGGTCCCACACTTCTTCAGGATTGCCATGACAGCTATTCATGTTGTTAGCACCAGGCTGTACAGAGATGATGTGTTCGGTGTCAGACAGTTTGCCCAAAACCAACACATCATATAAAAAGAGAGACTCACCCAGAGTTGCCCCTATCTCAAGGATCTTACCACTGTAGGTCCAAGCAAACTTTTTGCCAGCCTTTTTTGTCTTCTGGAGTATGTCATGTTGCTCCACAGAGTGATGCTGCTTCTGCTTGAGACCCAGGTGCTCCTCCGCCAGATCATGCTGTTCCATCACCACCTTCCTCTCCTCCAAAGGGCATGCCTTCCACTCAGCCTTGCACTCATTGATAACCTTATCGAAGCCCACATGCTTGCCCTGCTCCAGCAGTACAGCCATCTTGGCCTTTCTTGCCCTTGCCACTGCTCCATTGATCTCCAACTCCTGCCTGTTGATGGCTTTGAGGGCTTGCACCATCCCATGGAACTCACTGAGGTTGCCTTGATGAACCTCTTACTTGAGCATCTCCATGGGTGTTGCAGTGCCAAGATTGAAGCACATGATACTTGACTTATTGAAATATTTGGGCTTATCCAACTTGGCAAGCACAAGTGCCTCGATTCTCTCATGGCATAACTGGTAGGCAACCCCAGCCCTCCCTCCCTGGGTTGTGGAGTCTTCAACCTTGGCATCAGCATCTTTGGGTGCGACAGGGGCTGAGTCAGCTGGGTCACCATCACTGATGAGGAGGGAGATCTGCAGTAAGTGTCAGCATATAGTTGATTTAAGTGGAGTTGTATGCATTGTCTGACACCAACACATCATAACGCACCTTGCTCTCTCCCATGAAGACTTCCTTCAGGCACCCCTCACATAGCCCTGCTGCCTCCTGGTACTTTTCCTTGTACACTTTGAGGAGATGGGAGGCGACCAGGGCCACCTCCTCCTCCAACAGAAGTGTCTTCCTATTGCTGGCCTCTGCTTCATTCTTGCACACCTCAAGAATGATCTTCTTGCCCTGCCTTTGGGCTGGGCCATTCTTCTTCTTGTTCTTCTTGGGCTTGGCCAGGCCTTTGCCCTTGAGGTCAGCATTTGCCTGCTCATCAACTGTCTTACTGTCCTTCAGTCCAGCAGGTGCTGCTGCTGGACCCCCTGACTTCAGGAAATCAACTAGGGGTGCATCCACCATCTTCACATTGTCCAGAAAGTTGATGGTCATCGTCCAGTCACTGTTGGGAGCAAGGCTGATTGAGTCCACATTATCAATAACTATGGAGGGAGAGGCACTGTCATTGTCAGTGATGGAAGCCATGTCGATGAGATGATGGTAGGAGACAAAAGGGCATGAGTTGGCCACACAACTTTTTCAGAGTCATTGCCTCCACATAGGGGCTGCATTTGTTCAATTCCCAGGCATGGCCCTTGTTCTCCTGGGCAGAATAGCAAGTTTACAAGCAAATGTTCAGTCCAGGATGACTAGGCTTGTAGCTTTGGTTACAGAGTTGATAGATGATATTAGTTCTGAGGTATCTCTACCTGTTGTACAGAATAATATATTTCATTGTATAAGACCCACTCAAAATCATATCTGTCACGTGATGCAGTGGGCCAGAGACATGCTGTGTGTGCAGGTGCAATTCTGCACAGGATGCCTAAGCCCTTGAGCTCATCATGGATGACAGCCCCCTCACCATCTTCCTCACTATCACCTCTATCAGTCACACAAAGCCAAAACTTATACTTACTGTATGTATGTTCACTTCCCTTCACCAGTATATAAACTGACTGGATGGCTTCTAGTACTTCCTCATACTCAAAACCATGAAGGAGCATGTCTGGGTCAATCCTGGCCTGCCATGGTCCCCAGAGCAGGGTGACAGCCAGAGATTATGTGGCAAAGGTGCATCATATTTGTTTTTGCATTGATGGCCCTACACTGAACTTCTTACAGAAGTGGGCACCGCCCACTTGCAACATATCCCATTGGGCCCTCAGGGAGAGACTGGCGTGCTCTCTTGGGGCAATACCCTCCCTGACACTTGCATCAACATCAAGGCAGAGACTGCCTATCACCTTGATGGTGCAGTTGTTAGCACTGAGGTCCAACACCAACACATCATATTGGGGGAGGCTTGCCTGCAAAGCCTCCCTGCTGCTGTTCAACTGCCTGACAGTGGTGCTGATTGCCTGCAGGGCAGCTCAGTTGCTCCCACTGTGACCATCCCTGACTCTGCCCGATCTGTGGTCTCTCCCAGCCTCAGCCCCATCAATACCCCACCTTTGCCAGCTCTCTGTCATTGTGACATATCTCTTCCAACCACCACTGCGTCCTCTGTGATGGTCAATGGCAGACAACTTGCAGAGGTTCAAGTTGGCACTGAGGCAGAGGAAGGGGAGGGTGAGGACAAGGATGAGGAAGAGGAGGAGGAAGAGGACGACAAAGATGAGGAGGTTGAGGATGTTGAGGAAGAGGAGGGACCCAGCAAGTTTGGCAACCAGGTAGCAGATGGGGAGGATCTCCTTGTCTATTGCAAGAAGGACAATCCTCCAAGATATGCCAACCTGGATCCATCAACATCGACTTCACTTTCCCCTCATTGCCCCACCACATCTGCCCTTCCTATGCCCCCTCCTTTACCCCGCAAGAGAGGTCATCAGCCCCTCATCCCAACATTCTACATTCCCACCAGGGAGGAAGTCAGGGCCACATGTGGTGACACATCTGACTCACTTGAACTACACAAACCGATTTATCAATGCAAGTCCTCTCAGAATTGTGGTACTGGACTCCTGTCAGGCATTTTCAAGTTCAGGAAGCACCACCAGCACCACCAATACACCATCCAGCCCCTGACTTTGTGAGTGACACCCCCATGCACCAAGGCTGCAAATGTCCTCTATATATGCTCTCATATTTCACTACCACTGTGTCTCCTAACAACCTTACTGCTATTCCCTCATTCCCTTCCATCCCTTCTGCTGCTGACGTTGTCTTTGATACTCTTCCCTGTCCTGCTATCACTATATCATCCTCATTTTGTGCTCCTTGACCTACGTCTGGCTCTACTCCCTTTATTCTGACCACACCCACCATTCCCTTCATCCCTGTTGGCTTGATGTGCTTTTCTTGAAGAGAGGCAGATGCAGCTCTCTGTTCTTGTTAGAGGGTTATCTGTACCAGGCCTGTAGGGTAATGCCATATAACACTCATTCAGAAAACAAACATGTACTTCGAACCCTGTCCTTGACCTAGGACAGGGAATCCCTTCCTATGCCCCCCTGACCAACACGCCCTGCTGGATGTGTCATCCACCAGGCTTATCTTTAAAACTCTGCCCACCGACAGCCTGCTCTGCTTGACACCTCATATGATCAAGATTGGCTGCTACTAGTACAGCCCTTGGATCAATGGCAGAGAAGTATGACTGAGGAGAACAAGACTAAGGTATGCTCCTTGTCATGTCTCCTGACCTCTGCCTCCTTGCTAAACATCCTAAGATCATACTAGATGGCCTGCATGCCCGCTGTAAAGTCCAAGAAGTCTGTAGTAGCCAAAGGCACACTGCAGTGCTTGTGTTGCCAATGCAAAACTCCTGCAAGGCCCAATGGTAGGACATACATCAAGGATCAGATGTGAGTGCATCTGCGATATGCCTCATTGCCCTTTGTTGAGCACTCCCAGCAATTACCACAAGTAACCAGTGAAAATGCCAAGTTGGGCCTCTATGACCTCAAGGATGAGCCCAGCCTTATGGACAAAGAACCTTCACTGTCAATCCCATTGTGAGTGCCCTCTCCAACACCACCGGGATCAAGCTGGGAACCCCAGTCAGCTTCTCTGGTTGATTTCCCCCAATCTCTCCATCTATCTGACCCTTCCAAATCTCCCCCAGTCAATAGTCTGCTTGACGTTGCAGAGGATGTTAATGCAGTGTCTGTGTCTGACACCAAGACATCATACCTCAACTTGGACGACCCCTGGGATGGTCCAAGTACCCCACCCCACTCACACACCCCTCCACGGATTCCCTCTCCCGTGCCTATGGAGATGGATGAATGGGATCCTGAAGAGCCCCCTCCCTTCAAGGATGAGGAAGAGCCTGATATAGGCATATCTGTTGATGACTTGAACATCCCCATCTCAGCCCACCCTCTGCCTTACAACTTTGATCAGCCAACACAAGAACCATGGCTCAGCTATCTAGGCATACATGCAAGTGCTGCAGTGCGAGGGATAGCCTTATTGCTCATGCACATGCATGCATGGTACCAGCTCCCACATCTGGCTTGCTCCATCTTGGCAACCTTACTTTACACACTTCTGGAGCAATGTTTCATCCTGTCATCAACCACCGCCTCACTGCCAGCAACAGCCCCACCCCATACACTTAGGACTATGTACAAGCAGATGGGGATGTGGGATCATTTTGAGGTGAAAACACTCTGTCCCCAATGCTGGCAACTGGAAGATCTCAAGGAAGAAGACATGGATGCAGACCTCCTGGATGACTTTGGGCTGGGTGACTCTCCCCATCCAGTGGCAGACTGGCAGCGCTTCTGCCATTGATGCCAAGAGCCACTGTATGTAGAAGCAGCCAAATCTGGATACATCAGGTCAAAGAAACAGGCACTGTATGACCTGTTCTCACTTCAACTTACCAAATGTCTGGCTCAGCCCAGATTTGAAGACACTTACGAGTCGTATCTGGACCAGACCAACACACACAGCATCTACACCCAAATACAGCAAGGCAGCATGTGGAGAAATATGGAGGCTGCTGAACAACCCCACCTCTGGTAGGGTGTGTCAGGCCAGTATTCCCATGGCTATTTTTTGGGCCTTAGAGACTGTTGCACAGCACTACAGACCCTCACTATGGAAACAATGTGCCCCAGCAACAAGCCTCGACCCCCCCTGGATATTTGGCATGATGACTGCAAGGTTTCCCATGCAACAGGACCACCTGGATATTTGGCATGATGACTGCAGGTTTCCCCTGCAATGGGATCGACCCACACAGATATTTGGCATGCCAATGCCTGCCTAGGAGAGGTATCCAGAGACCAGATTAGTATAGAGTATGGTTTTTAGTAGCTAGTATAAGTAGTTTCCAGAAACTCCTGTACTTAGCTTATTCTGCCCCTTTTCCATTAGCAATATACGGATCCGATTATCCCCATACTGGACAGGCAGCATTGACTTGACTTAGCATACTCGATTTGATTTAGCGTGACTTGACTGGACAGACACCAAGCTCCAATTTACTGACCAATTTCTGATAGTTCAGCTACAGGCTGCCTTCTGCGTTTCTACCAACTTCCCCCATCTCTCCCCTCTTTCCCTAGCGAGTTCTTGCCCACCACCCATTGGACTGATATTTCGGACACCTCTTGGGTTGGATCACTGCTGAGGGCTTGCAATTCTTCCCTTGATCATGAGCTGAGGCATTGCAGCAGTGTGAGCTGCATCTAGGTCTGCTTCTCTCTCTCAATTGGTTTAACCCCAATCATTCCATCACCTCAGAGTCACACTCCTCCAGTCCACTCTCATTCTGTATTGCCAAACTGCTGCCTGAGATGAGGTAAATACCTTCTAACTGCTGGCCTTATCTTTGACTTATGGTGCATCAGATTTTGCATTCATAACTTGTCCCTCATTGGCATTCTTCTGGGCCCCTGTGAGCCATCCTGCAAGGAGCTCCAGTGCTTCCTTCACCTGTGCGTGGATGATCTCCTGCGGCTCTGGCAGGATGGCATTATCATCAAAACACCAAAGTACCCTCAAGGTGAGCAGGGTGTCTGGACTGATGTGATGTGGTGTCGGACAAACCTCCAACACCAACACATCATATAAGTTGACTTACTTGACCTCACAGGAAGAACTGTGCATGTCACCCTCCTGGCTGCTGTTTGCGACCACCCTGCTCTCTGCAAGCTATGTGGCTTCAGTGACCAAGGACACAACGCATGTCCCTGCATGCAGTGTGAGGTCTCAAGACTCAACATGCTCAGCCAGGGGTGGAAGCTGGAAGGGTTCCCTATATGAGAAGGGGAGCTACATAGACGTCGGGCCACAAGAATGTATAGCCTTCAACACTCTGATCACCCCAAGTGCAAGGTAGAGGACTATGTCAAGCGATATGGTTGTCATTGGTCAGAACTCTGTTGTCTCCCATATTTCGACCCAGTAACCATGGGAGTTCTTGATCTGATGCACATGCTGCTGCAGGGGCTCACCAAGACATTGTGGTACTACAACTGGGTTCAAGGTGGAAAAGGTAACCTCAAGATACTACGAGAAGGAACAGAGGCTGGTACAAGACAGGAACTGGATGACATCCACAACATCTTGAAGACAGTAAGTGCTTCCCTGTGTGGATGACCCAGGCTAATATTAATATCCACATCTAGTTCAAGATGCTGACTTGGTACACCAGACTACCAACTAAAGTTGGCTATCCTGCTGGGGGCAGCCTTATGTTGGATGAGTGGAGGGCTCTGGCAGTGGTTTATGGCCCCACCATGGTGAGCTAGAATGAGGGTGTCAATTCATCTGACACCTTCCACATCATATGTCAATGCTGTCTCACTGATGTGAACCAGATTCCACCCATACTGATTAAGGCACAGAGCCAAATGCAGCATGCCAGCCTCAACCACCTCCCCTCCAGACAACTCCTATGCAGAGAACTGACAAACCAACCCACCCATCCTTGTCTTGCCCCAGAGTACTGCCCATGGCCATGGCAAACTGCCTCAAGTTTGCCATGGTTCTGAAAATACACATGTGGCACAAGATATCAGAGAGGGACATTGAATGGGCATCAAGGGTTTACCTCGATTTCTTCAAAGAATATGTCCAGGTGAGAACCATCACCCGACACAATCATATCACAGCTGATGGGATCATGTGCTGTTTGACTTGACTGACACCACACATCATATGTATGGCAAATCTATGGCTCAAACAACATAACACCAACATTTCATTGGACAATGCACATGCCCATGCAGATCCGCCACTTTGGGCCTGTCCACAGGTGTTGGACTTTCCTTTTCAAAAGATTGAACAAGGTGTTGAAGATGATCAACACAAGTGGGCACAAAGGTGGTGTGGTGGAGGTGACATTTGCCCGAGAGTTCAAGAGGGAGATCAGTTTGACATGGATGGTAAGCTTATTGCATTCCAGTATCTCAGTACTAACCAGCTATTGCTAGTGTTCAGTCCTTGCCAACCAGAACACAGATCAACTTGGCCAATTGTTTGCTCTGCATTTGCAGAAGCATGCTGGCAACATTGCTTGTATGGGTATGCTTTCAGCACTGGCAGCAGAAGCACAGCATCAAGCACTCGTGCAGGCCAAAGATCAACATCCGGGACGATGCATACTGTGTGGTTCAGGGAAGATGTGAGTCATTGACAACAATATACAATGCTGGCTGATGGTCCATTATGCTCGCCATCACCCCCACATCCAGCTGTGATATGGCACTGATCCGAACACCCCTTGGGGAAGCATCTTCCTGGCCAACAGAGGGATGTACTACCCTGGACTCACACTGGAAGGCAAGTGGATCAAGACAGCACCTGAAGATCAGCACAGCAAATCGGACTCTCTTGTGGTTCACTGAGTATCGACCAGCTTGCAGTGGGTTGGTGAGCTGAGGGCTGTCTTTACCCATCAGCAAGCAGGTATCAATCACCCTCAAACCTTTGCACAGGTTGCATGGCTAGTTCCCCTGCAAGAGATGCCCAAGCATGCCGACTTGTACAGGGACTTGTGCATGCTGGACATCTGACCTCCACACATCATCTCACTGACCTGCTTGCAGCCCTGAGTTGGAGGTTAACTTCTGGGAGCACTGACACTACCTATCCAATGGTGACTGGGAGCCGGACCCACTGATCCTTGCCAAGGACATCACTGGGACCGCTGCATGTTGTGAGATGGAAGTGGAGGGAAAAAAGATATGGATTATGATGGGCATGAGTAAGGTAAGTATGGATCACTGCAGGTACTGAGTTCTATCTCATGTAGTCTGACTCTAGAGTGGGCAATCATTGTAGATAGAAAGGTGAGGTGCTCATTTGGCAAAAAAAAAGTGGAGTAGCTAACAAGAAGTCTGAAGGGTAACTTTGTACAGGATGCACTGTAGTTGAATAAGTAAGTACTTACCCATGGCAGTGAATGATGTTTGCTCAGTGTTGGCACCAACACCAGCATATCATATTGATCTGGAAGGCAACCTCTCCTTCAGATACAAGGCTTGATCATCCATGCAACTTCAATGGACATTCCTACAGGAAGACTGTGCTGGCTTTGCCAATCTGGAAGCTTGGGCAGCTTGGATTCAACCCAGCCTTCATCAAGCATGAAGTCATATGGCTCCTTGCAAGGGACAAAATCCAAGGTATGGCCAAGATCCATGCGCTTCCCAGGACAGCAACCAGGCTTGCCATTTGCCACAACCTTCTTCATATAGTCACTGTGAATGATCTGGTACCATTTCCAGACCTGGACAGTGTGGTGAGTCGTTGTCAACCATGGATCTTGGGCATAACCACTCACTTCCTCATGCATCCACTCAGGCCGCTTGATCTCCAATACAACAAATGGGATTGCATCCCTCTCTTTGGCAGTCAGCTTGCCTGAAGCAAACAGAGCCTCTCTCCAGTCAGCATTTTGCATTCAGCCCTCATCCTCATCACACAACCATTCTTCTCCCACCCAGTTGTCATGGACCAGTGCAGTTTGCATCAAATACTGATTGGGCTCCAGGTTGACAAAGAAGTCCAAGACTGTGGCCCTCATTTGAGCCAAGCACTGGAGAAGGGGTAAGCATGGCATTCCTCCATCGAGCATGCATTGCTGATAATGTGTTCAGTGTTGGACGGATTGTCACTCACCATTCTCCACTTCTCCACATGACACATGACACTCTGCTTCTTCCTAGCTTTGACATCACCTCTGACCTCCACCAGCTTTTGCTGTTTGATCCACACCTGCTTCAGGTGAGGCCAAGTCCCGCATGTGAGCTCTATGAAGACAGACAGGCACAACCACTTTTTGTGGTATTCAGATGGCACACTGTTTGGATTAAGCTGCAAAGTGTGAGTGATTAATATATTGTACTGGTGTTGTATTGATGAGCTAACCTTCTCCTGTTCCAGAGCCAGACTAGCAGCCCTTGTCTGGATCAGCCGGTTTGGTGGGGCATTGATGTCCCTGAAGAAGTCTGGCCATAGTAAGTTGAGATTGGTTGGCTTGATGCCAACGCCAAGTCAAGGCATAGTACTGCCAGCCTTGTACTTCATGGCTGCATACATCTGTTTGTGGACTCATTTCTGAGTTGCAGGTAAGCTTCTTCAACATTGTCACCACTCAGCCATGACTTGCCTGTAGGTACAATCTTATACCTAACTTGATCTGGTCAAGACACTTCTTGCTCACCCTAGCAGGGTTGTCATGATCAGGAGTCAGAGGATCTGGAGAGATGGCTGCATCTGGCACCACCTGAATCTTTGTCATCCTCCTATGGTGCATGGCCCCTGGGTTCTCCCTTAATGCAGCCTCAAGAGCATGGAGATGACACTGCATGTCGCTCATGCTCTCCTGAGAGGAAGGACATTCCCCTGCGGTGGTCACATTGCTTGCCAACACAGGGGATGGCGGAACTGTGACTGGAATGGATAAGGACAGGCTTGGGGATGGGTCAAGTTGGCTGAGAGGTGGGATATCAGCTGGGGGAGCATCTTGTGGGCTTGAGGAGTATGGTGAGTGATGTGTTGGTGTCAGATGCTTGAGTACTCATGAGGCTATCAGATCACTAGTAGTACTGCCAACTGATCTGATGGCCAATAGCTGAGCCATTCATTGAAGTAAGCATGCTCTCTTGATTTCCCTCTGGGCCTCTGGCAGAGCTGCAATGGCCACCATGAAGTCATTGGAGGGAGAGCAGGATGGGGTAGACATGGTAGGAATGGATCAAGAGCAGGGAGGCTACAGGGGGGTGGTTGGTGACTGCATGCAGTACTCAAGTACTAGTACTGAGAGAGGAGAAGGAGCTGCAAGAAAATTCCAGATCAGAAGTGGCAATTTTTTTATGCAGGGCTACCAATATATTAATATTTAATATTAAAATTGATGGGCTGCTGGAGGCCCATTTTATGACGCCTGGCCCACTCATGCCATGTGAACTAGGGCATGCTAAGAATCACCTCCTGTCCTGAGGGCAGATGCCAAGCTGCCTGGCAAAGTGCCTAGGGCAGGTAAAGAAACTTTGTTAGAAATATTCTAACCTACATCTAGGGTACTCAAACTGGCCTACCAGCATGATGGCTAGGACAGGGGATGCCATGTCATATGTAAGACCCTAGGATCCTACCCTGTAACATGCAGTGAATTCTCACTCACTGTTCAATATTGCTTGGAAAGTAGTTTAGTAGACAGATCAATAACATTGGTGTCCACTGGTCTGTTTTCTTTTGTTTCAATAAAATCTTGAAAACTTCATCAAATCAAGCAATACTGAGAGCACAGGTGAATCATGTGAGCTGTGCAGGGGGCGTGGCTCACATGATTGAGTTGCATGGCGTTTCACCCACTTAGAATGGGATCTCTGCACAGTGAACTCCTGAATGAGGGAATTCCTCCAGTGCCCCCTCCATGGAGTTACTCCTCCCACAATGCCCCTCCAGAGCCAAATGCTCAGAATGCCCTCTCCTTCACATGCTCACAGAGTGTGCAACTTTCCTCACATGTCAAAAGAGCAAGAAGGGTAAGCTCAGGGTCTCATCTTCCCAGAGTGGCCAAACATATCTCAGAGGCAGCAAAAAGGGGTTATAAAAGCTAGAAAAAACTTGCAGAGGTTTATTGAATTATTTTCTATTTGATCTTTTTATTATTAATTCATGGTTGGCTAATGTTTTGTTAACTGTGAGCAAACAAAAACTGGGACCCTGTAGCATGAGACTAGCCCTGGCCCACATGTTTTGACAGGTGAAAAGGCTGTGAGCTCTGCAGGCATGTGAAGAGAGGGCATTCTGAGCATTTGCCTCTGGAAGGGCATTGTGGGAGCAATCACTGCATGTTAGGGTAACATCTGTGGACCAGAGCAGGACCTTTTTAAGGTCATATGGGTTAGTAAGAGCATAGCTTGCTTAGGTGACCTTAGTAAAATGTATTAAATGCAGATCCATATGGTATAGGCCAATATTTACATTACTTAGCACATATGACCTGAAGAGTGACATAAAATTTATTCACCCACTTCATCTCTGCTGAGTATGTCAAATATTCTTCAGGCCATCTCTGGCATCCCAACATGAAGTACACATGTACTAGGGTGGTTGGTAGCTAGGCAGTACTTTGTGGTTCTGACAAATTCTTACTACTTCTATGTCACATTTTTTGTTCATCACCAGGTCCATCTTTGATCACCTCAGCTGTTCTCTGTCCATCTCATCCCCAGCCACCTTATTTTCTTTCCTCCATCTCCACACCTCCCATGGCACCCAGACCTGATTTGATTGTCAAAGCTCTGGGCAAGTTGACAGCCAAGGGTTGTCAAGGTCTTGCCCAGGCCCTTCAAGCTGAACTCAGTGAAGGAGGGGCATGGTAAGCACTAGCAGGACTGCACCTGTTGTTGGCATGAATGGCAACAAGACAATACATCATAGCTTACCAAAGATTGCAGGCAACTCTCTGCCTCTAATCTTGCTTGTGCCCCCAAGCACAAAGAGCTGCAGGAGATGGTTTTGGAACTATGAGAGGTGATCAACACCTTGTCTACCACGGTGGACAAACTTACTGACAAGAACAATGAAATGAAGTCCACCCTGGATGTGATCAAGGACTGTCTCGATGCCATGGATGAATCAGATTGCCCTCCACAAAAGAGTACTACTAGTACTCACAGGAAACACATCTGAGGTACTGATGCTGAAGATGCAATTCCACAGGCTGCCAAGAAACCCAAGGCAGCCTTGTCCCCAGATGAGGTCGCTGTTCAAGAGAGACTGCAGGTCAGTCTGTTTGAATGGGCATGACATCTATCTCACCTTGTGTTAGAAACAGCTGAAAGTGAACTTCCTTTGCCTAATTGGTTTCAGCAAGGAACAAAATGGGGGCAAAATTCCTGGTAAGAACCTCCTCAGCCAATTTATGCCTCAAGCTCCTGTTGGTACTGACCTGTACATGTTGCTGGACTGGGGCACTTCCAGGTGGGACGAAGGGGGGAATTACCCCATCATTGATTGGGTTATTGCCCTGGTTCTGGAAGAGAATAAGGTATGGCTCCAATGAGCAACAAGACAATACATAGCTGATGTGCTTCAGCGAACCCCCCTGCCCCCCAACACTGACCAAGCATGGCTCACACAGCCCTCTCTCAAGGCTTTGTTCCACCCAATTTGGTCCAAGCTGAAACAACAGTTCGAAGCAGAACATGACATGGCAAAGAAGTCCAGGAAAGACAAGTGGTTGCTTGAGGGGAGGTTGACTGAGCATAGAAACACAGTCAGTCACATCCTCATTCTACCATCCACTACTCACCCATTAATGCAGCAATACAACTGGGCTGTTAAGGGAGGCAAGCTGTTAGCCCGCAAACTTGGCATTGAAGAAGATGACATCAAACTGCTCATGTTCTCCCTAGTCAATGAGCACTGGGTCAGGGAGGAGTACTCCTGGGATGATCTCCTGGATGAGCAGCAGCAGGCTTCTTGGTGGATCAGCATGTGCAAATCTGATCAGTTGAGCCCTGCCCAGATGTGAGATCACAAGTCAGCCTTTGAGCTGAAAGCTCCTTGATTTATGTCTGAAACAGTTAGCAATCTTCACTTTGTGATCACTCATCTGATCCTCTTCTAGTTCTGGAAGGTCATCAAATCTTTTGTCCTGGTCAAGGAGGATGCTGACATCAATAACCCTTCCCACTGCAGCAAGCATGCTGTCACCCCTTGTGTTGATCTTGGCAATAAGACAGACCTCTGCATCCAAGCCAGTTATGAGCCTTTTGTGTTTATGGTGGATCTGGCATACCTTACCAAGCAGCTGAAGTTCAAAGTACAAAGCCTCCCTGCATGCATTATGCAAGAGCAGGTTCTTGAGTTGACCAATGAAGAAAGCAGGTGGATTTATGCCAGCCTCAGTGGGTGATTTTCAATCTCAGAGTGCTCACAGGGAGATCAGCTGGGATTGTTCTTCATGGACAATAGGACTCACAGCTTATTACACCAACTATCTACTATAGATCACCCCCACTCTGTGTAGACCTCATTAGCTAGCATGATCAAATGTTATGGGCAATATCCCAATGAGATGTATTGTCTTGTTGTGCATAGGACTTGAAAGTGAACAAAAGGATGTACCTTTGATAGTGCAGTCATTATCCACAGCTTTCTCCCCCCCTCAACCTCTACTGTGGCTCTTACAACTACCCCTCCCACACATTGTGCCTCTATTATAGTGCTTGGTCCATATTCTGGTTTTTCTTTTAAGTACTTGCCATACTGCCAGCACCCTATCTCCAGCTCTTGACTGACACTGATGTAAGTGCTTCTCCAATATATAGGTTGGGGATTAGGGTTGGTACAATGGTCTGTACACATTGATGAGATGGGTGGGCTGTTCGACAGGTTTGAGTCATGCAATGAGCACTAGGAGCCTCACATGGTCTTGATGGTGCCTGAAGATATGACAATGCTCCCCAGCCCATGAAATTCCTCTTTCCAAGCATGTGAGGATCAACATGTCCTGTTTCCAACCACCAAAATCCAAAGAAGCATGCAGAAGATGACCTTTTCAAGTCATGGCCATATATGCAGTGATTGCTCTGGACAGAGGCACACTGTCCATGTGTGCCTGAGTTGTATGCTCATGGTGAACACTGACCTTGCAATCCGGAAACCATCAGAGAAGGACCAGATAATTGAGTTTGCCAAGTTCCATCCAGAAGCCAGGTCCCTTGGGGATGCAAGCTTGCCCTTGAGGTCCAACTTCTGTGCCTTCAATTGTTGATGTCAGCTCAGCAAGTGCTCCACTGCCTGCCAGGTCTCGGGCTTCCTTGGACAGCAGTCTCCTGACAAACTGAGCTGGCTTGTCATCTTCTCTGCTGCACAGCAAAGAGCCCTAGTATAGAATCAGTGATAGTATTTAAGCTAGGCCACCCAATATTACCAAGCATAAGATGCTCACATATCACTTGAACTCTCTTGCAAAGGTAATTTCCATTTCCCCTTCTTGATGGTGGTTGGTTTTGTATTGCTTGAGAGTCTGGTTCATTCGCTCGAACAGAAAGGTCCAACACCCATGGGCAGGACCATACCCTTGCAGTTGTTCATCCATGTGGTTCATGTGGGTTAACCAGTGAAAGGTGGGTGTCACTGATGTAGGTCTCTATATCTGGAATGAAGTCAGCCAGATTGGCATGTGATGTATGGTCTTGTTGGGTGTTGGGCCCCAACTTGCCTCTATAAACTCTGCAAAGAACTCTTGGTACAACCTGGCAGCCTGTTTGAGATTCCATTCTGTCACCTCTTGTCTTGTATAGATCTTGACAGCAGTTGCCAACCGCAAGAAGTTGCTAGCTGCAGCAGGGGGCACTCAGGGTTGGCTATAGGGGTTCCCGGTAATAGTATAGTGGGCCCAATCTCTTGCGCTTGCTTCAGCAGCATGCAAGAGAACAGGGGGGATCTGCCTCACCATCAATCTCAGCTAACAGGGAGTGAGCAAGGTCAAACCCACTGCAGCCAGACCATACAAAATCATCAATGCCCACCATTCATTGGCAGTCAAGTTACTGCCAGAGGGATAGCTGACATTTTGGGGAAGCTTAGCATACCAGCTTGGTTTCTCAAACTAAATTTGGAATATTAGCCTTCTGCCATTGCATGCTGCAGGGTGTTAGGGCAACACAGGCTGACTAAGTCTGCTCACCTAAGA